GGCGCACCTTCCCAGGGCGGCCCATGGCCACTCGTCTGCTGAGGCCCTAAATCTGAATAACTGAAGAGAGAAATGATCATGAAAAAATGAACTCACCAGGCATTCATTCTGTTTGGATCACGAACTATTCTCTTAGCACAGTTAATATCATCTGTGATGTCATCGTTTGTGAATGCTGCCACCAAAAAAGAAAATGTTATAATAAAATTAATTAAAATATTAAAATAAATTAAAAATATATAAATTAATTTAATGACTAGTGTTCTGTTGGGAACATACACGTGCATACACTAGCTGTACACATGGGTATGGGTTGTTGTTGCTTTTTCGGTCACTGTGAAGGTTGGCATTCACTTCACCCCTCTGTAGTTACCAAGCCCTACTCCTAGACTTACCATAGCCCTGTTGAAGCCTCCCCTCCAGCCATGGGGCACAATGGCATCTGGCTATGTCCCCATATGTCCTCATAGCTAGATGTGAAGAATTTGCCTCAGCTACTGTACTTCCAGAGGAAACCACAGGAATTCATTGGCTGAGGTAATCATTTTGCATCTGGAGACATAGCCAGACATTACTGTGGATACTCCCAATCCCTATCAGGTGCAGACTGACCATGTGGGAGGGGGACTTTATCAGGTGTATGGTAGAACTGGGGGACGGTAAATGCCTGGGGGGTAGCAGATGGGACACATCAGCATTTCGCTATGTCCCCATATCAGATGTGAAGAAATTGCCTCAGTCATGCCAACTTCTGGAGGAACCCAGAAAAATTCATTGGCTGAGGTAATCTCTTTCCAACTGGTTATGGGAACATAGCCAGGCACTACTGTGGATGCTCCCACTCTCTACCAGGTTCAGATTGGCCAAGTAGGTCGGGGGCTTTATGAGGTCTCCTGCAGGACTAGAGGGGTGGTAAATGGCTCAGGATAGAGGTAGCTTCATATGCAGAACTATACACTATGCTGAGCCATGTTGGATTGAGGCCAAAATAATATAAATCACATTACATAGGTAAGTAGCACACAAAGATACCATCTTTGTAGCTGCTTCAAAATGTATCCCCCTCCCTCTGGGATAGTTTGGACTTTGTGATGGGAAATGGCCAATTGTAAGGGATTATGGGATGAGCCAGTGTGGTGTAGTGGTTTGTGTATTGGATTACAACTCTAGAGACCAGGTTTCAAATCCCTGTTCAGCTATGGAAACTCATTGGGTGACGCTGGGCAAATCACACACTCTAAGCCTCAGAGGAAGACAAAGACGCCCCTCTCCCTGAAGAAATCTTACCATGAAAAGCCCATAATAGAGTCACCATAAGTCAGAAATGACTTGAAGGCACACAGCAACAATAAGAAGTCCTAAATTTCTGGTGGGCACCAGATTGAAGAGGGCTGTTCCAAATGTTGCTCAAACACAAGGATTCAGTAGCTTGAGTAGGATTTAGGTTTTATATGTGTGTGGAGGAGACATTTCAGTGAATACAAATACAGGGCAATTATGGACTGTTCTATCATTGGAAAAACACTGGGAATTTATTTTCTGCTAAGGACAAGTAAGCAGCATGTCCAAGTTAGTAACAGGAGAATGGTTCACATGCGGGACCAGAGCCTTCCTTTAAAAATGTCGTCCACCCATCCTGTTTGGGAAATATTACAAGCCTTCGCCCCGCAAGAGCACATTGCTTACCACTGCAGGAACTTTTGCAACCATTGGCAGTTTTGCCCTGTCCATTGGAGCACCACCAGCGGCTGTTGATCTGAAAAATCCCATAGTCGCGACTTTTGTCCCAGTTGGGTCGCCCCACAGCCCTGCTATTGTATCTGCTCTCATGGTAAGCCATACAGATCCCTGGGGAAAAATCAGGAAAAGGCTTGAGTGAAGGAAGAGATAGGGAGAAGCAGTGACTTAAAAAACAACCTGCAGAATTCTGAAAATAACTTAATATTTTGCAATTCAAACCTGTGCTAAATCAAAATTTCCCCTTAATTTTACAGAGAGACAAAACAAGTTTGTTTCTATTGAAGTCCAAAGTATTTTGGAAAGATGGGCCCTGTCCCACTACGCAATTATAGCACCATGATTCTGCTTTAACTACCATGACTGCATCCTGTGGAATCATGGGATTTATATTTTGGTCAATAAGGTCAATATAGGGTCCAGAGATTATGAATTTGTAGAATTTCTCTCTTTCCCATTTGTGCAAGAAAAAATTTGTGGCCATTGTTTTGTTTTTATAAAATACAATAATTGTTTTACATATTGACATCATTCATTAGCATCACTGTATTAATATGGTTAATCTGTAAAAGGGTTCATCTTATGCTTTGTTAAAGATCTGTAGTTTGTTTTAAATTTGCACTTTTTTGCTGAACTAAAGGCTTATGTAGAGATGCTATAATTTACAACAGATGTAACGTGATTTATACTTGCTATTTAAGAGTTGTCTCTGCATGGTGTAAAATAAGCTATGAGAGAGAAGGGGTTCTGCAGACAATTCAGTCTATCTGTAGTACTTTATTTGTGGTAAGTACTAATGGTTATTGATGTACATTTAAATTCCTGTTAATTTTTAAAAATAAGCAATATCAAGGTTTTGACTTGTGGGTTGTTGTTTTTTTAAGACAAGGAAGTACAAATCAAGCAAGAATAGCTCAGAAGTCACTGAGGAAAACTTTGGTCAAAACGTGTTTGGCTGTGGGCAGATGGTGGTTTGGTACCATACAAAAAACAACTGACTTCTTTCCTATCAAAGATTTTACTTTAATCATCTGTTTCAAGAAGAGCCTCTGCATCTTATCAGACTATGGGGGGAAGCACACCAGGGCGTCCGAGACGCCCTGGGCCAGTGCGCCGCGGGGCCATGGCAGCCGCACCGCGGCACACCAACGGCGTCCCTGAAAGGAACACAAAAATAGCGCTCCTTTCGGAAGACAGGGAAAGTGCACCCTAAACGCATAGGGCGCACTTTCCCTGACTTTTCTGCCGCAGCGCATGCGGTCGCTGCAGTGGGAGGTTGCCCTGGGAGCGCCAGCCGTGCGGACGGCCGGCAGCTCTGAGGGTAACCTCGGGAGGAGGAAGGGGCACCGCTCGTGCGGCTGCCCCTCCTCTTCCAGGGCTCGAAGATGATCCTATTAGTCATCTGCCGAGGCCCTATGTTCCCCTTCCATTAAGGCCTTTGGTTCTTCATTATAGAATTTAATTGCTTATATTTTTTCTAGTCATGTTATTAAATTGTATAATTGTGGTTTATTAATTTCCTTAATTTTTTATATTTAGTGATATATTTTAGACCAGGGGTAGGCAACCTTTCCCCTTTAAGGGCCGAAGGACTTCAGCTCCCAGAAGCCTCAGCCATGTTGGCCAATAGTCCCATGTTGGCCAATAGCTCCTGGGATTCTGGGAGCTGAAGTCCCTCTGCCCTTAAAGGGGAAAGGTTGCCTACCCCTGTTTTAGACATTCTAACTTCAGTTATTCAGTTTCCATCCTATGGAATTCTGGGATTTTTAGTTTGTTGTTGCACCACAGCTCTCTGACAGGGAAGGCTAAATATGGGGGGATGCAGACAGGTGGCCCTGGGCCACCCTGGGAAGTGGAGGATTAGGCTGAGGCTGTGTCACACCTCGGCCCCAATCCTCCCTCCTGCCAGACCTGAAAGGAGTGGCAAAATGCCACTCCTTTAAGAGCTGGCAAATAGGGCACCCTAAGAGCCACCGTGCGGTTCTTCTGTGCCCCTTCCAGCACAGCGCATCAAGATACTGCGCCAGGAGGATGTTCTGATGCCACATGCTGTGCGTAACAGCACATGGTGTCAAGATGTTCTTGGGGAAGGGTTGGAGCAGCCAGCATGTGGCTGCCCCTCCCCATCCCTGCTTTGAGGATGCTGCAAAAGGCCCATCTGCAGAGGCCCTATCTCACAAAACCACAAATCCAAGAATTTCATAGCATTGAGCCATGGCAGTTGAAGCAGTGTCAAATGACATTGATTCTGCAGTGTAGATGCAGCCCAAGAAAAATGAATGTGAGGTCCATTAGGATGTATCTGTATGGCTGTGGATTATTTCTTGAGAAGTGAGAATTCCCCCTCCTCCAAAATTTCAAAAGCCAAAAACTACATTAAGGTAAAGATGGAGAGAAAGGAGGGGCAAACTTACAATTGCCAAGGCTGTAGCCATAGTAGCCATCCAATCCACCGCGTTTCAGCCGTGCAGCCAGTTCACATCTACTAAACACTTTGGCTTCATTGATGGCAATGAAGAGGCAGAGGAGGGTGAAGACCAAAACTTTCATCTCTGCAGCTTCCTGGTCAATGATACAGAGATCCCTTCAGATCTCCAGTGCCTTTTATAGCCAACCCTTCGGGAAACTCCCTTGGGTTGAAATGGCAAACAGGACATTAATTGTGGAAAAAATATGTGGCAATATCTCAGAAAAGGGGACGTGTCACAATTCTGGATTGATAACCATCTGTGTTAAAGTTTTTTTTAAAAAAAGGAGGAAACAAGTGACATACAATGCAATGAAGGAAAAACCCCTATTGTTCAGTTACCATCATCAATCACATAAGATGACAAACAAAAATGTGTATGGAAAATAACAAAAGTTTAATAATTACCAATAATGAATAATTACTAAATTAATAAGGAAAAATAAAAACTAAATCCTAGATGAAACAAAGTACCACCATCGCCACCACTAACACACACACACACACACACATATTTTCTAGAATCTGGGGGGAAAAAACCTTTTTGATGTAACCTTTAGAGTCTCCAGCCAGTGGCCATGTAAGATGGAGACTTTGCAGCTCAAAAAACATAATTTTACAAGCTCTTGGGATCTCTATTCCCCTCCATAAAGGAAAGTCCTTGGGAAGGCACATCTACCCCCACAATCTAATTAATTTCTCTGGAAGGATTTGTGAATATGAAATATAATCTCTCTCTTTCTCTCTCTTGGATGATGATTTCTGGGCTTATTCCTTGGAGGCTTCAATACCAGCTGCAAGGTGTCAAAGGCCTTATTGGTCACTTTCTCAGATGCAACAACTTAACATTTGTCTAAAACCCATTAGTGAGAGGATTTTTCCAGTCTAGGTACCATCACTGAGTAGGCCATTTACTACACATTAGATACTGAAGAGTCATGGATTATCTCAGTGAGCAGGTAGATTTGTAAGGGAGAAAGCAGTCCTTGAGATATATGGATCCATTCATATTACAAAATTATAGTGCTATTATTCCACTTTAACTACCATAGTGCCATTCTGTGGGTCCCTGGAATTTGCAGTTCAGAAGGGGACATTTAGGATTTTCAGCCAGAGAGGTTTAGGAACACCAACCAAACTACCTATCCTAGATTTCCATAGGATGGAATCATGGCCATTAAAGTGGAATAACAGCATTATAACTGTATAGTGTGAATGGGACCCAGGTCTCAGACCTTTTAGGACTTCAAACATCAAAACCAATAATTTGACTGGGTCTGGAAACTAATGGGAATTCCACTGAATTTTAACCTAACAATGAACTACTATGTTGCTTGTATGATGTCCCATGCTGCTTTCTATCTCTAGTAGATATTCTTCAAAGATGGCCTTACATAGGGCAGTCCTATGCCCTATGTAAGGCCATCTTTGAAGAATATCTACTAGAGATTATGCAGCATGAGACACCATACAAGAAACATAGAAGTCCACTGTTAGGTCAAATTCAGTGGCTTTCCCATTAGTTTCCACTTCATGTATCTGTGGAAGTGAACTTTTAATTCATACATAGAATTCAAAGATATAGCCATGTTAGTCCATAGAATCTTATGCATCTGAGGAAGTAGACTGAAGTCTATGAAAGCTCATGCTGCCAATTTCTTTATTTCATTTAGTCTGAAAGGTGCTACAAGATCTCTCTCTTTTAATTCATAGAAATTTTAATAAAGGGACAGATGCCTTCCAACATTTTAAAGTTGAAAACTGGGACACATGTGGCCAAGCAACATCACAGTGTGATCAAGGTGGCAAAGGTTGTTAATGAGGAAGAACAGGTAAACTAGGAGTGGCTGCAGCAGATTGCTTTTTCCTTGGCCTAGTGAGAAGAGCAAGATAGGGCCTCTACAGACGGGCCCTTTGGGCTCTCCTGGAGGCACAGGTGGGGAGGGGCAGCTGCACGCCAGCCGCCTCAACCCCTCCCAGAAGACATCCTGATGG